CAGCCCAGGTTGCTCCAAGCCCCATCCAACCTGGCCTGGAACACTCTCAGGGATGGAGCAGCCACAGCTGCTCTGTGCAACCTATGCCAGTGCCTCATCACCCTCACATCCTTCCATACCTCATTCCTGACAGGGAGTGGCACAGATAGTTGACCCATGCAGGGCTGAGATGTGGAACCAGAGAGAAGAGTGTGGGGAAGAACATGTGAAGAGCAAAAAAAATCTTAAAGGGAAGAGTGGTAGAAGTGACAAAAACTAAGAAGACTGAGTTAGGTTTAGGCAGAGGAGATTTTGTGAGGACAATAATGAGTGGTTTTGTTCCTTCAGGTGGACAAAGTGGCTGAACTGGTGGCCAGATGGTTCTACTGTGCCCTGAGCCAGGAGAAGTTACGTCCTCCCATCGTAGCCTGTGAGCTGGGCAGGTAGGAATGAACCCAGAGTGAAAGTCAGTAATACATCTATAAATAAAGATATTCTGGCAATCAAATGTGATTCCTCACGTTCTGCTGTTCTAGGCTGTACAACAAAGATGCTGTCATTGAGTATCTGCTGGACAAATCCCCTGATAAAACTCCCATGGAATCTGCATCACACATCAAGAGCATCAAGGTAAACAGGTTGTGTCTAGTATGAAAAATCAATGTTAAAATCACAAAGGAAAGTTCAATGATGCTGTAAAACCTCCATTTGCTTGTGTTTCACTATGTACTAAAGTGCTAAAAACAGCAAAATGCAATGGGAAAAGAGGACAGGAACATTTTCCTGGCTCAGAGTCATTGGCAAAAAGCTCAAGGGTTGCATTTCCACGTTTCAGAATGTAACAGAGCTCAACCTGGTGGATAATCCTGCTTGGAGTGGGGAGAAGGAGAGCATAAAAGGGGACAAGTATGATGACCTGCAGAGTGCACGTTTCATCTGCCCCGTGGTGGGGCTGGAGATGAATGGGAGGCACAGGTGAGTGTTGGTGTGAGAGGTGAGAACTGAACACAGCAGGTCAGGTTGGAATGTCTGCCCTGCAAATCATGTACCTGCCTAAGCCTTCATGGGATTATTTGTCTCCCTTTGAGGAAGGAGCTCAGGAGAGCGTGGAGTGTCCTTGGCTTGCACAGTCAGGAGGAAAGATAAAGGTTCTCCCTTTCCTAACTCAATTTAGATGTGTCATAAAGGGGCAGAAAGCTACCAAAGGTTGGTTGGGGGCTGAAGCACAGGAGATTGGGGTATGCAGCACAGGGAGGTTGGATGAGGCCTTTTGACCTGATGGCCTTTGACCTCTGACCCAAATGCCCTGCCCTTGTTTTGAAGGTGTTTCAGCTCAGTGTTTTCCCAGCTCAGTGACTTTGGGAGTCTCTGCAGCAAACAGGCCCTCTGTGGCTTCAGGTAGAACATCTATGTGTATGTCCTGCAGGCTGAACCTTGGAGAAATCAGAGGCCTCAGCTGAGTTTAAGTGGATTTGCAGAGCACTCAGAGGCTGTAAAACCCTGTGGTTGGCACCAAAACACTCCCAGTGATGCTCATGACTCCTGGTCCAGTTTCTCTGTGGCTCTCTCAGACCACAGAGGACACACAGTTCCCATCTTCAGCAGCACAAGGGCTTCTTTGTCATGAGAAAACATCCTCAGCTGAGACAGTCCCTCCTCTACCAGGCAGGGCTGACCCTGCCCTGGCTCCCAGCCTGCCTATGTGCCTCTGCCTCACTCCACACCAGAGCAGGAGGATTTCTCTCCCTCCTCACAGGCTGAAGCACCTTCTTCCAAGAGACCTCTGCTGCCAAGAGACTGTAAAGTGTGTGGAAGGGCCTCACACACCTCACCTCCCTGGGGCAGTGCCTTTCATAGTATCATAGCATGTTAAGGGGTTGGAATGGACCTTAGAGATTATCCAGTCCCAACCCCCTGCCCTGGGCAGGGACACCTCCCACCAGACCAGGTTGCTCAAGAGAAGTGGTGGAGTCACCATCCCTGAAAATGTTCCCAGAGTGAGCAGATACACCTCTTGGTGCTATGGTTTAATGTGCAGGATGGTGGGATTTAGTTGAAGGTTGGGCCTTATGATCTTGGAGGTGTTTTCCAACCTTAATGATTCTGTAATAACAATAAAATGATACAAATAACCCCCTTAGACAAAGAGTTTCTTAAAATCATTGTGTGTCTTGTCTTTCCTTTGAAGGTTTTGCTTCTTGAGGAACTGTGGCTGTGTGTTCTCTGAACGTGCCCTCAAAGAAATCAAATCAGAAGTCTGTCACAAGGTGAGTTCTTTCAGCTTTAGTAGCAGTGGGGTCACATGTGAGCTCTGCAGGTACATCTAGAGACACAGGTGTGTCTAGACAATACATCCATTACTGTGTAGTGGGTTCTTCATCTGAATATGCAAACTGAAATGGAACTTGTAGAGGTTCTATTCTGTGATGGCCTGGAGTGGCTCAATGTGGCCCTTTGTAATAAAAATGGGTTTCTAAGTAGCTGCAAAAATGACTATTTTTGTTCTCAGAGGCAGTTTGATTTGGCAGGAACTCCTTTAGAAATGTCCTTTTTTTTCAGATATTGCAGCACTACAGGCTGGGGACAGAGTGGCTGGAGAGCACCAGGCAGAAAGGGACCTGGGAGTTTGTATAGCCAGGAAGCTGAACAGGAGCTTGCCAGCCTGGTTGATTCTATGGTTCTATGTTATATTTATATATTATGTTCTAATTCCAGTTTAGAAAAGAGTGATTGGTTTTGCTCTGGGGGTTTCATTTGGTTGGTTGGTTTTAGTTCCTGAATGACTGTGGTTTGTGTTTGATCAGTGTCTGCTCTGGGGGTTGTATTTCAGGTTACATTTTGTTCCCTGTATTATTAAAGGACATCTGCTGTTGTCTCCTTTGGGGAGAGTCAACTCTTCATGGAATTTTGAGCATGAATTAGTGTAGAAAATACTGACTGCATTTTACAGTGCTGGTGTGATCTTACTGGAAAGGTTTCTTTGGAGCTAAGGGCAAGGATGAAAGTTGAAAATACTCTTTTCCTATCACCACTTTTATTATCAGTGAGATTCCTTGTGACAGTTGCCACATTTAGGAAGTTATTTTTCAGAGAAAACCCTGATAAATCACAAATTAGATTTGTATTAAACAAGACCTGTTGCAGTGATGTGGAATTTTGTGGTTTAGCCTCCTTTTTGCTGCTTTCAATGCTCATTTTGTTCTGTATTTATTGGTTTAGTCCTAATGACTTTGCTTTCCTCTTGGCAGATCCTCATTTATTTTTAATGAGGTTTTTTGTTTGCAGCTAAATTTTTGTTGACAGATGGATGTAACTAGATCATTAGGTGCAGGAATGAGAGGGTTTGGCCATGGTTTGGCCAATCTGATAATCTTATCAAACCTAAATGAATGCCACATGTTTTCTGGGATTTTTTAGTGATGGGTATTTAGAACAGCTCCTATTTGCGTGCAACTGTGTCCACACACAGGTGAATTCCTCACTGTATTCCAAAAGATGCTTCTAACAATAATGAAGTGGATATAATATCTAGTCTGTCATTTTTGCCTTAGTGGATTTGGATGCACAAACACTAAGGTAACCAGCTGAGAGAACATGTTTTAGCCCTTTGATTAAGGACACAGAGTGATTTGGTAGGTTTTTTGGGTACATGCTAATAATGTTCTCACTCAGAATCAAGAAGGGACTAGAACTCTTCTAACCAGGATCACAGGGAACTGGTTGCTGTGCTTTCTGGTAGCTGAGAGTTTGTTTATACCCAAAGCACTCATTAGCAGCATTCCCCCAGCACATTCTGTCCTTAGGCAGCAGTGGGACATAAAGTGAAATAGAATTGGAGAAGAATTAAAAATGAAGCATTGTGATTTGTATATGCTCGGATTAGAAGCTTTTAATCAATCAATCAATCCCATATTTGCTTGTTACACTGTGCATTCAGTCTTTTCCAGCCAGCAGAATCCATGTTTCACTGCATTCCAGGGGGATGAGGCTTGTAGTGGGTGTAAACTGGAGAAGTGTCAGTCTTGGAGCTGTGTGGCAATTCCCATTCCCACTGCTGTGAAATTCCAGAAAGCTCTTTCAAAACAAGCTCTTCCTGTGTGTTCATTTTGCCTGTGAGCCCACAGAGCCTTGCTAGTCTGCTAGATTGTAAACAGCAACAGATTCCCTGAGGACTTTGACAAACAGATGCTGTCGTGATGCAGTGAAATCATTCCCCAGGGAATATCCAGCAGCCCAAACAACACTTCTGCAGTCCTCACCTTCATCTCACAGACTTTGAACTAGATCATCTGAGCTAGATAATGAACAGTGATGTGCAACAAGATGTGAATCACAAATGTTGTGCTGTGTGGAGCTGTAGGAAGTGACTTTCCTGTGCTTAAAGCAGAGGGTTCCTTCCTTTCCAGGCCTTCAGGCTTAGCTCCTGGGTATGTTTCTTGACCCACAGTCTCACTGCCCAGTTTTCTCCTCAGTTTTACTGTGGCAGCTCACACACAAAACAGAGTGATCCATGTGCCCAGTGACATGGAGGTCACCAAGTTAGGTTAGGAAAAAGCAGAATTCATATGCAGATTTGGTCTAATTCAAGGGAACAGAGGAAGGATTCTGCATTCCTTGGTTTATCTCAACAGATTTGCCTTACACTGTATTTGAAAGGTTTTATGGAGTGTAAGTACAGGGAGGATGAAACAGTTTTTCTGTCAGAGTTCTCTGTCAAAACAAACCATTTTGCCTCAATAGGAGCTTCACATGAAGAGCTGACAGGATAAAACACATACTTATCTGCTCTTACTGGAATTGTTAAAGGCTGTATTGGCACTAGAGAAAGGCTTAGGAGCACTAGAAGATGCTGTGGTGGGTGAGGGCTGTTATAAGACAACTAATTAGTATGTGAGGCCTTTTTCTAAGGGACTTACCTTGGAAATAAGCTGCTGGTGCTTCACATCTTTAGCAGCAGCATTCTGAAGGATCCAAGTTAAAAAAACAGCACTCAGATGTGAAAACTCTAAGGCAAATGACCAAACACTGCAGCAGTGTTGGGAGACAGAGGAATTGTCTCTCATTGCCTGAAGGGTAAATGCTTTGTACTCTGTTGCCAAAATATAAACTTCTTGGCCAAAGACTTTTTGGAAGAGCAGTGATTTTCCTACTTGACAAAGTCATACCAAGATTATACTTTAAGATTTTAACAACTGCTCTGTGTGACTGTGCCAAAGGTGAAAGCTGATACTGGATTAGCTGCAGTGATGGTAATGAGGAATGTTCCACTCAGACTTGAAAAGACAACATGGAGTGGGTAAATGCTGGCACTGAGAAGTTAATTATGAGTATTGCTGTGATTAACACATACCAGAGACCCACTAGCTCCAATAATGGTTTTGATATGGACTCTCAGCATGAACATACTGCATGGCTATATTTTCCTTTATTTTTCCTTTACTTCCCTCCATAAAAAAGCATCTACTACAATATTTAGCCACAAGATATGTCCTGGATTACCCATGAAACTGAGTGCATGCCTTTGGGTCAAGGCTGTAAATAAATAGGGAGCAGATGGTCTTCCTTTGGGTTAAAGTTCACGTGAGAGGAATTATGCTCCTGAGAAACTCATGTGGGAAAATGAGCAGTGCAGCCCCAGGAAGCTGGGAATGAATTTGGATGTTTTGGGTGCATATTGAGGTTTGCATGGAAATTGCTCCTAGACATTGAGTTATCATTTGTAGTTTTTAATCAAGTGAGTTATAAGGAACAAGATATATTTTATTAGTTCCCATCAGAGTTCTTGCAAAATAATTAGGATTTTATATGGATTTACTGGAATGAAACTTCTGTCTGCATTCTTGCCCAAATATGTGGCAAGGAGGATGAAATGACTCCTCATAATTCAGGTTTTTCCTAGTCTCTTCCTGTTGGTAACACTTAACTAAAGGCCTTTGGGAAGAAGGTGTGGAGACGGTCATATAAGATATTTAATCCCATGGAAGACTTGTCCTCTATTTCTTTATGTTCCCCCAAGTGTTTGTTGCACAAGTGAAAGGATTCATTTGAGAGGCCTGAAGAGGAAAGAGCAACTCTTGCCTGGAAAAGGGCTCAATCCTTGCTCTTTCCTAACTACTGTTCCCTGGATTTGCCTGTTGTGTATTTGTTGAAAGCACTTCCTTGTTGCTCCCCAGCGAGTGCAGCATTTTCTCTGCAGAAGGTTTGGGAAATGAGTTGCTTGTCCAGGTTGTTGCTACGTGTCACCTGCACTTGCTGCAGAGTGTTGCAAGGTTCAGGCAAGTTTTGTTTCCCTCAGTCAGGTACACTGGGATTGGAAAATGGCCTTTCACACTGTCTCCCTGTGCTCCTTGGCCTCAAATTTTCCATGTGTCCTTGCCCTGAACTCCTGCAGAGACTCAGCACCAGGGGCTTGGTGGTAAACATGCTCTGCAGGATCCCAGGCCTGTCCCTGGCACACACCCCCTGCTCATTAGGAGCAAAGCCTGAGCAGGGCAGCAGTGATGTTGCCATGCTACACAATGAAATTAGGGATGCAGCTGGCCATGATGGGGAGAAAAACAAACCCAAACCCACAGTGACATGGACTGTGTCTGCCACTGTTGTCACTTGCTTAGGTACAAGCTCTGAAATTTATCATTAACTTCAGTATTCAAAACAAGCCGTTTCGTAAGACACCCAGCAGCCAGGACTTTAATTGTGCTCTCCATATTTCATTGCTTCCTTTTTATTACTTTCAGACCAGTTAGTCATTCTTTGGCTGTGGACATGAGGAATATTGATTTTTCCAGCTAAATAAGTCACTTAATGGATTATGAACTTCCCCCTTGTAAGTTACAGATTTAGACATGTGATTTGCTTTTGAGAATTAATCCATTAGCAGTTGTTCCTGTCATAAATAAAACCTCTTTATTTCACTGCTAGGACAGTGTTGTGCTTTACCCTCATGCTGTAAATGCACAGAATGGAGTCTTATGGCTAAAAATGGTGATGGTTTCTGTCAGGGTTGTGAGCACTTGTTTGGATGTTGGGTAAGCTCAGACTTCCACGCTTGTTTGGATGTTGGCTAAGCTCAGGCTTCCAGTACTTGTTTGGATGTTGGCTAAGCTCAGACTTCCACACTTGTTTGGATGTTGGCTAAGCTCAGACTTCCAGCCTCATGTTGAAGTAGTTGTGCTCCTGCAGACGCCAGTGGCCTTCGATGGGAACCTCTGCCTGGCTCAGCACTCTGAGCCTGTAACGTCTCTCCAGGCAGTCCATAACCAGGGGATATGTTCCAGGCTCAAATTTGTTGGCAAATAAATGAGGTGACTCAATAATCCACTGCAAATCCCCTAGGCCATAGATACAAATGTCTCTGATGTAGTGACCTGCAAAGACAAATTGGAGAGGTCTGAAAGCAGCAGAAAGATGAACTGAAGCATTTTTTAAAAGAGTTTCACTCTGGGCTGTTCCTAACAAAATTTAGCTCTTGGTTTCTCATGGAGCATCATGGAAATTTAGCTGGAGTATTATAAGAGCCAGGATTTGGGTTTGTGCTTTACACTAGTGGACACATGTTCCCTCCAGCTGCTTCACTGACATGATGTTCTGCTTAATATTGTGCCCTGTCTTTGGGCATCAGAAGTTCTGATCTCCTATTTGGATTACCTGTTCAATCACACAATGTTTCACCGTGCTGAGCTCACACAGGTACATATTTGAATCACTTCTGCATGTTTTCCATGTGCTCAGCACTATTCTTTTTTTCATTCTTGCTCAGATTGAAGAGGTTTAACCTGATTTTGATGATAGTATTATTGTCAGGTAAAGCCTCTGCAGTGAAACCTCATCAGTTGAGTTTGTGCATTGGGAATTGGAAGCTGAAAGGTTGGAGGGTTGTCAGTGTGTGGATACTGTGACAATCTCTAAATAGATAAAATCCATAGCAATAATAGTATCTAAAGATGTAATTAATATAAAATATAGGTTATTATACAGATGAAATATATCAAAAGCTAGTTAGAGTGAATCCAGAGTAGTAATTCAGTAGAGTGCCTTGTTGTTTGATTCCTCAGTTAGAGTGAATCCAGAGTAGTAATTCAATAGAGTGCCTTGTTGTTTGATACCTCCAAAATAAACTATACATGCCTACTGAGGCACAATTAATAGCTAAGTAATGTGAAATCTCCAATTAATGCTACTCAGTGAATCAAATTTGAGTTTATCATCAAAATTCATGTTACCTTTGCAGCCTTTGTGTGAGGTTCCTTCTTGATCTTTCCACTTAATGGCTTTTATGTTTCCCTTCCAGTCTGCGTTGGGTGTAGCCCCTGGAGCATCTTTAAAAACATAAGGCTCTGATAAGATTCTTTTCTACTTACCACGGGGAAAATTTTCACTGCTGAAGACTTTTTAACTGTAGCACGTTAAGTATTTATTTACAGATATTTACATCATAAGAGCTGAGATCATTCTCAGTTTTACTGCTTTTTGTATTCTTTAGAGCATGAGATTTCAGGCACGAAAAATTTATTTTTCAGTCAGCATTCTCTAGCCTTGTAGCTACTGCTCTGCACCATAAGTAGTGATTTCCTGGAATCACTTTGTTTCTCAGCCATCAGGAGATGTGACTATTTGAAAGGGCAACACCAAGGCTGAAGAAATGACCAGATTGATGCAGTGAAGTGATGTTAAGCTCTGAGCTGGAGCTCACCAGCTCTCCCTGCCCCAGGCCTTGCACTGCTGTTGTCCCAGGACTTATTCCCAGCAGAAATAACAGAGCTCTTACCAGGTAAACGATTCAGTGTGACCCAGTAGTGTTCATCCGGGCTGTACGTGTCTCTGGACCATTCCAGCAAGGCCTTTGCACGTGCATCAGTCAGTGTAAACTCTACAAATTCCTTAGTGAGGACATAGTAGGCACTGCCAAAATAGATTGTCAAATTATGTGGAGGTTTAGCTTTTTTAGTCTGTGTTGGATACACATATGACCTTCCAGAATGGACATACTCCCTGTAACTAACCTGTGTCCTGTGTTTCATATGAAGTGGTTGGACTACCCCAGGAGTGATATTTTTACCATTCCATTTACTTTTGATGTATTGGATAATTTCTTTATTTGTTTTAATGGGATAATCTTGACCACAGAGGTTAATCACATAATTCCACTGAACTTTGGAATGCACCAGGTCTCTCATGCAGTTAATATCAGCTTGTAATCTTGAAAATCCTGCATAAACAACGTGTTCTCTCTTAGAGGAAATAAAAACATTTTCAAAGCAGTTAACTATGTTCTGTACAGCAACTTTGTAATCTCTGGGTGACTTTTCATCAACGTGTATGCAGTAAATATTCTGAGGCATATAAATAGCTCTTAGCAGCTTCACAAACATTTCCAGCTCCTTGTGAATTGTGATGATGTAGGCCAAGGAGAAACTCCCTTCTTCAGCTGACAGTGGTCTGGTGATGAAATGCAGAGTCTGCAGCACTGTGGAGCAGTTGCAGGAGGTCTGGATGCAGCTGAGTGGTTTGGGTTGGTAGGTGCTCTGGCAGGAATTGCCAATTTTCAAGGCAGCATTTTTCCCCACAAAAAGAGCTGAACAGAGTTCATCAGGGTAAAAACCACACTCTGCTCTTTTCATGTGAAATTTGTGCTGATTTTGCCCCTCAGAAAGCAGATCCTTCAGGTAGCTGAAAGTGTAGATGAACATACAGACAGCAATGCACAGTAAGAATCCTGATTTCGTTGCATCCAGTGGGTTCATCTTTTATTTTCCAGATACTTTCTTCTCATCGTAGTTCATGTAAACATTCTGATTATCTGAAAAGATAAAGAGAGGGAGAGAACCTTTTTGCTGTTTTTTTTTTAAAAAAAGAGATTACATTAGTGATGCATTTATAAATGGCATTACTACTAGGAGGAGCTCTGTGTGCCCATGCAGTGTCCTCACCCACTGGGAATGGCACTTGCAGAGCCATGAAGAAGTCTTTCCAGGACAAAATTAACCCCAAAATGATATAAAAGACCTCAAAATGGCTTTGTGTGCTTCAGTGCTTGACCAAGGGGAGGCCTAGCCCATCAGGCACGAGTTTCCTCTGATGGTTGGACTTGATAATCTTAAAGGTCTGTCCAGCCCTGAGGTTCTTTGAGTCTGTGTGTGGCAGGAGGTGAGTCCAGTGCCACAGGTGGCTTGAGGAGCAGCTTTAGGGCAGGAGAGACATGTGAGCACTGTGTGCTAAGGAACAGCTGTGCCTAGATCTCCTCAAGGCCTGGGAAACCTTCAGTTCTGCTACAGGATCAGAATTCAGCAAATTAAATCAACAGAAATTTATTAAATAAACAGAAGGAAGAGACTAAAACCTAATCCACAAAATACACTGGGTTTTATCCTTATAAAGTCAGCGAATGTTTCTGACTCTTTGATTTTTTTTTTTCTCTCTCTCTCTGACATCTTTGTCAGAGGAAACAGAGCATGAGGACAACACTCATTCCTTATTTTTAGCATGTGTGCATGCCCTGAGATAAGGACACTAGGGCCAGAACAGCACCCAGAGATAACTGCAATTTACAGCCAGGTTGGCACTGGAGTTTTTCCATTGTGTTTTTTTCCTTACATCTACCTTGTTGAAGTCAGAAGAATGAGAGTGCAGCAGTCCTGAATCCCACAGCAATTGCATGAAGTCTTTATCCTTGAAGCATCTGGCAGCAAAATTCCTAGAGAAAATACCAAGGAGAAGAGTCCATGAACTGCCATGGAGCTTAACAGTTACATTTTAAAAGATTTTTTTATTTTAAAGATAAGGAATTTTCTCTTAGTCAATGACTTTTTGTTACCAAAATTTGCATTTCACCTTTAAATATTTTATGCTTTGCAGCAACATCACAAAGTATTTGGCTTTAAATCAAACATAGTTTGATAATATTATAGTAAATGTTTCAAACAGAAACAAATATTTTTCTAAAGTTAGTTGCCTTATAAAAATGCTGTTGTGGCTAGAAAGCCTGAGGCTTTCATTAGAAATAAGTGGAAAATACTTTTTTTTAAATGATAATTCAGTCTGTATCTGTCTTAACAGCTTGAAAACACAATTTTCAAGCTTGAAAACTGTCATTAGAGTAGTAATGCGACATAGAATTTAAAAGGCATTAAGAGCACAGAAACTGAACCAAGAGAATATAGTACCACAATTTTAAGGTCTTACTGGGCTGCTGGGAAAGAATGTATTTATCTTTTGGTCCTTACTGGTATGCACTGGATTTCATGCTGGAAGAATGCCTCTTTTCCACTGAGCATTCCAGAAAGTGGAGTGGTGTGTTAGGTGGATTCATCCATTTCGCCTGGGTATTCTGTCAGCACAGCTCTCCAATCTGGTTGGATGCATAGGCCAAAGGAAAACATGAGGAAATCAGGTCCCACAAGAATGTTTTCTCTTCAGAGCTCCTCGGGGATACATTTACTGTGCAAACAAGCTGGAGGGGAGGATCCCATCCTTTGGAACAGAACACTTGAGGCAAACCAACCCTGGCTCAGTGCAGAAAGCAGGAGAGGAGGAATGACTCTGGAAGGGGAAAACCAGGACTTTTGCAGTAAAAGGGACTTCCTTCCATGCTGTGCTGTGCCAGCACACTGAGAGGTTGGCATGAGGGTCAGTATGTACCCTGGGGCTGGCTGGGAGAGGGAATCAGTGCTAGGGAAGCACTGATGGCTCTAGAGCTGCACTCAGGGAATAATGGCAGGAGCAGCACTGAGATTCCTCTGAATCAGTGAACGTGATGAGAACTCAGTGAAGGTTCATTATGAACATCAGAGCTACACTGAAAGCAGCTGCAGAAACACTTGGGACTTTATACCTGCTTAAATACAGAACATCTGTACAGAATGAGCTTGCCTGGCAGGTTTTTTCCTTAAATACATCTTTGGACAGGTTGCAAAGGGTAGTTCCCTAGGGAACCAAGTTGTAACCTGCTTGTTTCATACAGTTAAGTTTTTATTACCCTTCAAATAATAGCTTGCAGGGATGTTTCAGCCTGTGGAGTGTTTACTATGGATTTTTTCCTATTGAACTACGTGACACCTGGAAATTGTATTTTATATGGCAGCTGAAGGTACACAAACACCCTGTGATTGGGTAAGGAGCAGCAGTTCCTTCTCCAGTGTTCATGGGCTGAAGGAAGCTTTGCCTCCAGGAACAGAATGTGACATCCTTCACCCTCAGGGAATATTAGACTGAAAGCAATGGGTTTCTGTTAGTGTTTTGCTGGACATAGGGCTGGAATTGCAGCTGTCAGACCCTCTGTGTGTTTAGTTCATCACTTGGCAGAGTCCTCTAACCTCTGGGCTGTTGTCTGCTGGCAAGGACTGTGCTTCCAGGCATCCTCCTGACCTTGAGGAGCAGGAGATCCTATTGGGAAGGTCCACTGACATAACCCAGTCTGCGAGTGCCCTTTAGTCTCATGATGCAATGCCATTATAGGCATTTTTTTTGGCAGAATACTCTCTGAAACTCAGCCTTTTTTGTGTTATGCACAGGGTTTCTAAATCTGGAGGATGAAGTTGTATTCATGTTTAGGAATCAGAGCACTGTGTGACATTCTTCCACAAAAAAAGACATTTTGTAGGGATTTTCAACCACCTTTTGTGGCTGCTTTATGGATATTAACAGAAAAATTGTTGTAAGCCTAAGCTCCTCCATCTCAATCATCTCAATTAACAAGGCAAACTCTAGAGAAAAGGGGAATTAGGTTTATGCCTGGAAAAAGCCTGTGAAATGTCAGCTCAATGAGACCCCATTACATGAGTAACAACTCATTGTGCATTCTGCTGTTTCTTCCTGCCATTGGATTTTGGACTGCATCACTGCACCTCGAAATATTCTGTTTTCTCTGCACTCTTTGCATTTGCTGAATATTAAAGCATAGATAAGATTTGCTTCATACGACTTCAGAATTTAGTGAAACAAATGACTTGGGAAAGCTTCATCTTCTGATAAAATGGTAAAAAGACATTAACTCCTTATTTCCAAGTCTTTTGAAATCCATTTTTCGTTTGAGGGTGTTTATGCAGGCATTATGTAGACATTTTATACACAGGGAAGTACTAATTTAGTCCTTTCAAACCTTAAATCAGCACTTTAAGCTGATTTTTACATGGCTTTGGGTTTTGTTTAACCCTGGGACAGGATGCAAAGTCTCCTGGGCTCTGACATGACATTTCTTCATCAACCCCAGTTAATATTGCCTTAGAAACTTTCAGTCATTCTTGTTTAAAAATACTGCATTAGAATTTACTGCTACAGATTCAACATGATTCAATTCACAGAGTTTTAATGTTCATTTTTGCTGTTTTTCCTGTTTTCACATTTCTTTTGTTTTTCCCTTGTGAATTTGACCTTATAACAATTTAAAATACCATGAAAGCTATTTCAACCCTGAAGTTACAGGGCTGTAAAAAATGCAATTGTTTGCATGAGCATAAGCATCCATAAGTACTGTGATTTTTACGATACAAACAACTAGTAGGAATGACCTCCATCCTCATCCGTGACAAGGGAAAGAAGGACAAAAATAGTGACCTTATTGCAGATTTTGAGGTTTTTTTTTTTCCAGTGAAATGTCACTTTGAAATTAAAACATATTCTGTTTTAGGAAGGGAAAAGCAAACAGCTCAATCCTACAATCAGTGCAGCCTTACCTTGTCCCAGATGAGCCAGGAGACGGCA